AAGCTCATCCTTTCAGCTCCCACCCACTTGCACCTTTTTTTTTTCTTCATGGTGCATTGTTGGACCTTAAAATCAGGCAAGCTGTCTTGCTGTTTGATGCAGCCACACTCAATTCATTCGGTTCAGCAATACGCCATTTAAGTCAATACAGGTGGATCCGACTTTTTTCCTAGCGACGACTAGTCTGAAAAGCAAGAGGCGCGGTTTTTCCTCGGCTGGTCATGCCTACTTGGACGTGAATATTTGGCAGGCGTGCCACTCTTAACATTGAGAGGTTGTTATTGCTGTTTTTTGATTCGTCCTGGCTGAGAAAATTACTCTGTTGCTTGAGTATTGTTGATGGACCGCGTTAGGTACAGCGCCCCTGACACCGCTCGTGTACTCTCAACCTTGTTATAGCCTCAGATCGACTTCGTTTGGTTTCGGTTTTAACTCTGGCTAAGGGTGCAGATGTTCCTCTTAATAATCCCTGCTTCACAATGACTTTCTTAAACGCTTCTGTTTGAAGCGATCTTGGGCATGAATGACGGTGACCACCTGTTGCTTTGGCCTGTTTAAAAAGTTTGTTAGTGTGAGATTGTCTTGTCCAAATGATGTCGCAAGCCCCTCTTCAAATGGCGGAAGTAGGATTGGGGCGTAATGATTGCTTTCGTGATCGTCCAGGATTTGATTTTTGATTCGCTCTGGAACTTGATCTCATTTCCTGCTCCCGACACATCATTAAAAACCTGATCATTCTTTGACCTCTTTGACCTTTGTCCAGCCTCGGGCGTCATTGCCGTTTCATTGTCGCGACGACGAGCCTGCCCTGATGAAGGATCCATCTGTTGTTCACTTAGTGACAATAAAGCGATACAGACGCATCTGTCTGGTGTCTGCCGGGCCTGCCGGCATCGAGGTCGTCTGGCATTCACGCGGCTCTCGCGGGTCATAAAAACGACCCATTAAAATGACAAATCTCACCTTTTCTTGCACTTAAGCGCCATTCCTGCGTCGCCCCGTCGTCACACGGCGCACCCTGCGATCGTGTCCGCGGACGGCCCGACGCGGGGGATCTTCTCGCAGGTCACACTTTCACCCCGTTATCCCCTTTCAGCAGTGATAAGGACTCTCACAACGGATATGCACAGAGTAAAAGTGTCCTTTCGCCAAGCGTCCTTTGACCCCAAAGGGTCATAAAAAGAGGCACGCGCTAAAGGAGGTCGCGGGAGGCCGCGGTTGTGACCCGAGTTTGGTTTTCGGGCCCCCTCCTCAGGGAAGAAGTGTCCTCTATCCAACTGTGAAGCTATCGCTTTGGCCGGCAGATGTTGCGTAATCTGTATCACCCCGCCCCCGAGGATGAGCTTAGACAAGAGAAGCGGTTCTCTCTTTATTGTGACCTCGGTCTCGTTGCCAACGTCACTTGGGTGGCCCTTTATTGTCAGTACACAAGCCGCATTGATAGAATTAAAAAAAAAAAGGCACATTGAGTTTACGGAGCCTGGCATGTCTGCGGCACTTCATCACTTGCGATTATTCGGTGCTCTGCTTTCCGTCGATAAACTCGGTTGGTGATGGCGGCAGTGTTTTTAGGACACCAAATTGCTCATTTTTGTGGGAAATGTCGGTACGGTATTTAGAAGGACCAAGCCAAGCAAAGACGTACGGGCCAGGATGTTAAATAGCGTTCATGTGTAGTGATTTAGGCTTGCCTGTGTGTAGGGGTTGCGTAGGAGTTTGAAATGAGAAGCCGTCTGAGGCAAGGAGGGAAAGGATGTGGCAATCACAAGTGTTTGCGTTTGCATCTCCGGGGTTGGATTACTTCAGCTGCTCTGGCTGCTCCGCTTTTCGCCTCTCGGGCATTGGAAGTGCGTAGATGTCTTCGCCCATTCGAACGAAGCCGACCATCATCAGTTGATATTGATAACAGCCAGCGAGGCAAGCCCTCGGGTTGTTTGGGAACAAAAAGGAAAATAAAAAGCGTAACAAGAGGACGTGTTGGAACAGCGTCAGCTTTCGTCTTTGGATTTGCAATCACTCAATTGTGGCGAATGAATGAATCCGATTGTTGTTTTAGATTTGCTTGGCTTCCATGGGAATCAGAACCCAAAACACTGCGCCACCATTCGTTGCAGTGAAGCTCCAACCACCCCCAAATGACCCCAAAATGTACTCTCACTGATACCTTCAATGACCAAAAGGTAAAACTCATAACAGCTGATTCGACCAATCCATTTCCTAAGTCAGTTCCAATCGGTATTCCAAGAATCGGCTTGATCATCAAATGTCAGAGAATAACAAGTGCAAAATGTCCTGAAACATTAACCAGTTGAACGTGAGCATTGAAAAACATTGAAAGAAGGCCAAATGAAGTTGGCCTGTAAAGGTGAGAGTGCTTTTGAGGTTCATTCTGACATTTCACCCAGAAGCAGAATTTCCCTTACTTATAAATATTTCACATGCTGTCATTTTTTTTTTCTCATAATTTGGGTGAAATTTACAGCTGATGATTTTTGGGCCTTTCCAGTGTACAGGTTTCTTCGCAGTCAGTTCTCAGCAGATGTTACGATCTATATCACAATCACCCTGTTCTAAAATAGCAAGCTAATGCACGTTTCCATTGATGTGTGTGCGCGTGTGCGTGTGTGTGTGTAAATAGACAATCTCCGGTGGTTTCACGCAAGACTCAGTGCAGCACTTGAAAGAACTCGCCGTGAGCTACCCATTTACTCTCCTTCAGTCGTTTTAAAAAGTAATCCAACCCTGACTTGATGTCAAGTTGAACCACGTCCACCTTTTTCCCCCCCGCCCGAAAAGCCGACTAATCCAAAACGTCATCAGAAAGGCGGTGGAATGCGACCAATTTTAAGAATGTTTCCCAACCCAAAAAGTCAAAACGATTGTGTCCGAGGAGTGAGAAATCTTTGCCGTGTCGTTGGGCTGCGCTCCCGGCGGGTGGCCTTCGACGGCCTCCGCGGCCTGCGGGGGGGGAAGTAATTAGTACAGCAGCTAAAGCCACCAACTCCGGCTGCCGCATCCTTGAAACCGCCGCCTGCCTCGCTCGCAACGACGGAAGGCCTTTATTGCTAAACGGCAAGCTGTCAAAGCCGATTTGAGACGACCGAACTCGCGATGAACGACCCCCCCCCCTCCTTCCGCTCTTTCTATTCATCTCGCGCGCACTCGGTCTCTCACTTCGCCTCCGCCGCGCTCCTCAGTAATCACCACTTGAAGGGAATTCCTTCCGCGGCGGCGGCGGCGGTGGGCCCCGCAGCTCTGCTTTTCCGAAACATTTGATGGTTTTGACAGCTATAATTTGCTTAAAATAACACCAATAAAGCCGTGAAGCTGTCAATGCTTCAAAAAGCTAATGGAGCCAGGATGAAACGCAATGCCGGGCCCTTTGATTTTGTGGCTTTCGTGAACTTTGTTTTGGCCGGAATGCGATTTGAGGTCTTGTTACAAATATATCGTTATAACCAGCACTCGATCTATTTAAAGACGTTGGACTCCCCATTCATACGACTCCCCCCCCCCCCTTTATCATACCAGCAAAGGATATATTCTTTATCCTTTGTTGGAAATGACTAATCTTAAACCATAAAGTTGAAAAGAAACGCACCTGTTGCCTCGCCTCACAAGTCTGCCGCGGGTGCAAACGTGTGACTCATCACCGGCGGTTTAATAAGCATCCATATTGAGACGTGACCTTTGGAGGCCTTCCTCCTTGGAACCGCGACCATGGCGATAAGGGGGGACAATGTGTGCGTTTCCACGTAAGCACACGAGTGTGTGCGCGCTCCGTTTCAACGTAATTCCGGCCTTCCAAGTAAAAGCTCACCAAATAGAGGTAATTGAATCACATACTGTGTCCACTTGATTGTGCGTGCGTGCGCCTGTTGACTCTTTGCATATGTTTGCACAGCACTTCACCAGGAAGTTTGCACTCAGTTTATAGGTTGTTTTTAGTTCTGAGCGGTTCTCAAGGTTTGGCCATCAAGATCTGGCCCGTGACATTTTGTACCTCTTGACAGTTCTTCCTCTTCTGCATCCTGAAACGGGGACTCAACTGTCGACCGATGCAAGAAAGTGACGGCCTGGGTATCGTCTCTTTGTTATTTCGGGGTTTTGTCGTCACCGGCCGGAATGTTCATGGTGGCTCTTTGGTTGGTTCTTTTGTGAGTGAAAGTCTGATTGTCATTTTTTTTTATTATTTTTTTTTTTTTTATGACTGTTGATGGGAGGAGTCATGCAAAGAAACATAAAAAAAAAAAAAAAAACCTGAACGCAACGAAACAAAGGATATTGTGCTGCATATGGCGTGCGTGCAACATATAATTACAACAGTGGGGATAACATTAAACTGGTAAAAAAAAAAAAAAAA